GTGCATTGATTAATATTATGATCTTGCATGAAAATTTTACTCTTACATTTTAAAATATATCATTAGAAAAGTTTCATCATATACATTGAGCACTTGTGTAATATATTCATTAAATTGTTGTCTTGAAAGAGAAGATATCAATACTTGGTATTGACATTGATTATAAACTTTCATATCTACTTCAAGAATTTTTTTATAATCATTTTTTTCAAAGTGATTGTGGTGTAACCCTGCTGTCTAGGATTGTTGGAAGCAAGAGAGTATTAAGGGAGAATTGTTCTCTTTTTACTTTGTATTGGTTACCTTGTTTTCAGGATTGTTGGAAACAAGTGTTGAATTGAAGAGGATTGTTCTTCTTGCACTTAGTGTTTAGATCTTAAAAGTTTTAAGATCCTTTGATCTTCCTATAGGTTAGATAGTAAGCATCACAATTGGTGTAGATAAGCTGTATAATAATTCTAACTATAGTGAAATTTCTTTCGTGTTGAAAGGGGACTGAAGTACTCTCGGATTGTGAGCCATGATATATCCAGTGTTATTTATTTTTCTGCATTTTTTCTTTTATATTCATACACAAACTAGAAAATAAGAACATCATCGTATAAAAGAATAAAAATCTGCAATCCACTTTATTCAGCCCCGTCTTTGACGGACTCAAAAACCAACAAAATCCACTACCGAAATCATTTTTCCCCTTTCTCCTCACGAATAATCTGACACCTTATTTATAATCCATTATGAAACCCTACCTTCTTCATCACGAGCCGATGTCTACCATGAGCATGGCATGATTTTGAGGTGACGTTCCAAGCATTATTTCTTACGGTGAATCAATTTTGCGAGCTATTATCATCTGCCTTAGATCTTCGATGTGCCCTTGCTTTAGATCTCAAAAACTTGTGAGCTATTGTCCCCTCTTTGTGTATTTCAATGTAAAGTTTTGATTACTCTCTTTGTTCGTCATTTCTAAAACATAATAAGATTTTAGGGCTTTTGTGTGTTGTATTTTTAATCTACTGAAACCTACTTATTTCTCTTTATCTTTTTGCATAGTAATTGTTAGATGACGGATTGAGAGAGAGTTGAATCGATAAGGAAGCAGAGGGACTTGAACGATCGATTGAGAAGAAAGATGTTGTCATTAGTATTGTTGATTCACGATTGAAGATGATGAGAGGCTGAAACCGTTGAACGAGATATTTGCGATATTTGAAAACAAGAACAAAGGAAATTCTGAAAGAAAATCGATTATTCTGTCTCAAGAGCCAGAGTTTTGCAATGAACGGCTATTAGGAATCATTATTTGAACCATGTGTTTTTCAGAGAGAGCTAGGTTCGGACCCGACCCGGTCCAGCTCAGTATGTTATTTTTTATGATATTTTTTATTATTATTAATCATGGGCCATGCTTTTTCTATCCTTTTAAATCCCAGCAGATTCTATTTTTATGCACCTCCAGTTCTACTTTTTCCAATCTAATCTTAAATGCATTTTATTATTTCATTTTTGTTTGTGCGCCTATTGTATTCTAGACTCATGTATTCACTTTTCTAATTTCTGTTAGATGCCTTATGATTTCAAAATTTGTTTAAATCATCTTCATAATGTAGTCAAGGTTTGAAATTTCATTGAACTTTTAATATCGGTTTTGGGTCGGAAGCGATGGAAGCGGTGAAAGCAAAAAATAGATTGAGTTGAAAAATGGAAACAATTTGATAGAAGTAAATGTAGAGAAGTAAATGATTTTAGGATTTATAGGGTAAGAGAGAGTGTCTTTCTCTGATTTATTATTGACAATTTTTCTTTTACTTCATATAATTAGTCATTTTCTTGGTATAAATATCAATTAATCCGTTTATTGGATGAAATTAGAATTTGATTCTAAATTTTAATTGTGTTTTAGTTTTTCCTTATTTGATTATAATTCAAATTAAATAACATGATTAATGAATATTTGATTTTTATGCAATAGTTAAACATTATAATGTAATTAAATGAAATAATTATTTCTAATATAATTAAATGAAATAGTTATAGACATTATAATTTGATTTTAAATATATGCATTCAATCGTTAGAATTAACTTTTGTATATTTTAAGTAAATCTAATTTCATGATTTATTTTAATATATTTAAAAAATATTAATTAAAAATAAATATTTATTGATGTTTTTTAAGTATAGATGCTTCAAATGTTTTTGGTTGCTTTTAGAAATATAATTTTTCTCATAGTAATTTTTGTTATATTTTTTATATCAATCAATAGAAAATATGAGTCATTTTTTTTAAAATTTAATAACAATAATGTGTTTAGTGTATAATTCGAAGATTTTGTTTAAGACATTAATGGTAGAGTGCATTGTCATTGTAAATCAATATTATATATATAATCAATCGAAATCTTTATACTTGCCATATCATAGCAGTTTTTTAAAAATAAAAATATGTTTTAATTAGAACTAAATTATCTCTCTTTCTCTGCTCCGACGATTTTGGAGCAAGATGGGTCGTCGTGGCCGACCACAAAAACCGACGACTACGAATCCTCCAGCGAGTGTACGAGTGTTTTCATCCTCGTCGTCGATTGACACACGTGAATCAAGCACAAAACAGGAAATCTCTGTTGAGAGAGAAACGATGTCAACAAATGTGAAAAACCCTAAATCGGATCTAGAACCGATTGAAGAAGAAAAGATTGAAGACATGCCAGACAAGGTACAAGAGGAGGAAGCAACAATGATTCAACCATGGATGGACATCATCAAAGGTAATCGATTACCTTCAGTTAGGAAAGAACTATAATATACACCTCATATGGTGATCAATAGGGAAATTGAAGTCACCATAGATGAAAGTGATATTGATTTTGAACTCAAGTTCTGGGAGAATACACTAATGATGTATGTTATAGGGGAAAATATATCCATGAATGTTGTCAAAACATTTATGGTCAATATATGGAACTTCGTTTCATTTCCTAACTTCTAATACAATTAGGAAGGATACTTCCTTATTCGGTTCAAGTCCTTAGAGGATAAGAATGTTGTTTTAAGAAGAGGGCCATACACAATTTGCAGGAAACCTATGTTTATCCAGGACTGGACCCCTGATTTTACAATGAAGGATAACATGATACGGACAATGCCAATTTGGGTGACACTCCCTCAACTTCCAATGACATATTGGGGAAAGGGGCTGGCAAAGTAGCAAGTGCTATTGGAAAACCAGTAATAACAGATGAATGCACTAATCATAAGTTGAGAATTTCTTATGCTAGGGTGCTTATAGAGGTGGACACCGCAAAATAATTGAAGGATGTTATCAACATTACTGGACCTACAGGAAAACGAGTGCAACAATTAGTGGAATATGAATGGAATCCTCCATTCTGTAAAAAATGAAACAAGGTTGGACATCAATGCAAAGAGGAACAAGAAAAGAAAAAGAAGATCTGGACTGTCAAAGAAAACAAAGAACCTGTTGTTGAGAAGAAACCAGAGGAAATACAAAAAGAACCTAAGATCATAGCATATTAAATTGCAACTGAACCACCATATTGTTGCGACTGGTTTTTTAATTAGAGTCGCCACTATTAGTTTTTAAACTAGGGAAGGGAATCTAACAGAAAACCCTAATTCGCAGATAGAGATTCTAGGTTTCAAACTTCTTTAGACGAAAGGAAGGTGTTAGGCACCTTTTATCTACCTTGTTCACAAGGATACTAGGTTTTAGGTTTGAGTTGGGGAAACAAGATTTAAATTTTATTAGGGGAAGGGTTTAAATTGTTTATAGGGGAACTCGCTACGATTTTTGATCGTATGCTTACGTATACTCTTATGAGGAATCAGAGTCCCAATTCGTAGTTCGTATGGGTTGGTGTTTTTTAGGGGTTGCGAACGTATTTTGAATCACCTCGCATTTTGGTCGGGAGTAGTGATTGTGGAGATTTTGACTAAATGCGTGGTAAGTCAAAATCTGTTTGAAACCCTTTTGCAATAAACAGTTGATTAGATTAGTTGATTGCGAAAAATAGTTTGTTGTTTGTTGAGTGTTTTTTAATCGTGTTAATTGCAAAAATGTCTTGATTAATGCATGATTAAAAATATTTAATGCAATATATAAAAATAATAATATATTCATGAGTTTGGAATAAAAATAATTTGTTTATGATAATATAAATATGTTTATATGTAATAAATAAAGGATATATAAAAAATATAATAATATTTTTATATAATAATATAAAAATTAATATTAATAATAATTATTATTATTATAAAATATAATAATAATAAAAAATAATAATAATAAAAAATATATAAAAAGATAGAAAATTTGTTAAAACAGGGGTGCAATTTATACTAGTAAGTAAAATAAAGGGGGGGTGTTAAAAGTAGCCTGATTGGGTCCAAGTAAGATTTCAGACAGGGGGTGTAGCGCTAGCTTTTCTTCAGTAATTGGGCACAGGGGAGGTGTGAGAAGTGATTAGGTCTAGGCCCAAAACGTGTTTGAGAGGGGCCTGATAGATTGCGTGGGTGAGGGTGTATGGAGCTTAGCACGGGACTTGGCCTACGGCCGTCCAATCACGATCTAGCGGATAAGACCGAGGGACCATGTTGATTATGCTAGGCGCATCGCGCATGATCAAACGGAATACCAAAATTTAGTTTTAATATTTTTTCCAAATCATCTTCATTATTGTTTTTACAACTTACAGTCTTCTCTCTCCCTCGCTAAACACAAACCCTGTTCTCCTTGAACCCTAACTCCCCAACCCTTATCTCCTACCCATCACCGTGGCAGCGAGAATCAACCCTTCCCCAATTGGGATCTGAAACCCCAAATACCCTTACTAAAATATCAAAACGACAAAAGCTAGGACATTTACCCCTTTGTGATTTCTGCTTCTGAATTTCTGAGCTTCCTCGATTCGGTACTGATCCTCTTCTTCTCTCTTCTTTGCAGGATACAGTAGCAATGGAGCTTGAGATGGAGGTGGATGCAGTTGTCAGCGACGGGGATGGCGATTAGGGTTTCAGAGATCAAAACCCCAATCGATACTCTGTTCTTCTTCTGTATTACTGTTCTTCTTCTCTTCTGGATATCGGTCTCCCCAGCTTCCCGGTTTTCCCCTTGTTCTTGGTCGTTCTTCTTCTTGTTCTCTTTTTTGTACTGTCATTTCCCCCATTCACTGTAATCTCCAATTAGTATTTATAGGCTTAGTTATTCAGGGTTTTGTAGAATTGTTGTTAGAATTAGAATGATTTAAGGATTAGATTGTTAATGTTAATTGAGAAAAAATATTGTAATTGATTTGATTTCGGATTTGGCTTGTAATTGAGATTAGAAAAGATTTGTACTGATTTTGTTTAACTGCAATTCTAGGCTTAGTTTAATGATGTTTCAGGATTTGATTTTCAATATTTCTGGACTTGGACTTTGATAAAGATTTGATTGTGTTTTTAGAAGAATATCTGATTTGTAAAAATTGATACAGTAAATGTTAATTGCAAAAACATGCACATTCTCCTTTTAATTGACACAGTTGTTGTTTTAGTTGTTTTGGGCCAGCGTTGTTATTTTACTTCTGCTTAGCCCAACTCACATTTTTTCCTTGCAGCAATAAAACATTTTTTTAAATCCAATTGGGCCAATGCCCTTTCTGTAACCCAACAAACTATAACTTTTGACAGGACTTTTAATTACAATAACATTCCTAATTAATTTTTTTTACACAGTAATAGCAATATGTTCCCTTATCTATTAAAATAGAAGCAACAATCTTTAAAAACATTTAACAGGTTAAGAAACAAGTTCAATAAAAATGTGTTACATTTTTTTTTTTATAAAAAATATTATTTATTTTTTTTATAATAATAAACAATTTTTTCTTTTTTTAATAGTAAAAATACTTTTTTTTCTCCAAAAAACAACAGGTGGACCAATTAAAAGCTTAATGGGCTTCTTATTGTAACCACATCCCTTTTTTTACTAATAACCATTTAATAAATAAGAACTCAACCATTCTTTGTTGAAATAATTTTCTATTTTCGAAACGCATGGGCCATTGGCCAACATGCCTCGCGAACGGATTTATGAGTCTTTCCAATTTAGAAAGCCCCACTCTCCTGGATTAAAATACACCCTCGGTCTTGGATAAAGATGGACCATTAGATACTGCTATACCATCTTTAATTAAATAATTCTTCTGATTTAAATCTTAAAAAAATACGATTAATGAGATATGGCAAATTTGGGATACGACACATGGACAGTAGTGAAACCTGTTGCTAGAAGACTAGGCAAAGAGCCAATACCAGAGGGTAACAGTTTGATGCAGACTAAAGGGTCCCTCAACTATTCTAATGTATTTGATGTGCTAGCCTTTGAAGAGGTTGGAGGTCCATCCATATTCAAGGTGCCATGATTTTGGTCTGGAACGTTAGAGGCTTAAATAAAAAGCCAAGGCACTTGGAGATTAAAGCCCATCCCAACTAGTTTCACATGCCTTGTTATGCTTTATTAGAGACTAGAGTAAAAGCTAATAATATTTCCAAAATTAGAGATACTTTTGGAAATAAATGGAATTGGATAGACAATTAAACTCATCATCCCAATGGTCGAATCTGGCTTATGTGGGAGAATAATCTAGAGATTATTTTGGTTTCCTGCTCTGATAAATTCATTCATTGTAGTCCTGAACCAGGATGGGAGCTTCTGCACCTGGCTGACTGTCATATATGCTCAAAATCAACTTCAGAGAAGAAGAGATCTTTGGAAGGATTTACATCACTGTGCTGCCACCATTCAAGAACCTTGGATGGTCATTGGTGATTTCAATAATGTCTTAGATAGAGCTGGTGGTAATCAAGTTCAGGAGTCTGAGTACCAAGATATGGAAAAAATGATGGGTGATTTTGGGCTTTATGCTCATGATACCATAGGGATCCATTTTACTTGGTCAAATGGTATTATACACTCTAGAATTGACTATGCCTTATGCAATAGAAACTGGTTCTTGCAGTTTCCCTCTTGTACTATTGAGATTCTGAATGCTCATATATATGACCATAAACCTTTGAAGGTGCATCCTAGAGGCCATAGTGTGAAGAACTTTCAAGCTCACTTCAAATTCCAAAATCACTTGACTGATAATCCCTCTTCTTATCTTGTGTGGAGAGCAATTGGAAAACTGAGGATGCTTGTATTCCCATGTATAGGGTATCGAAATCTCTAAAGAACCTCCAACCCAAGCTGAGACATATCACCAACAAAGTCACTGAAGGAGTGAGAAATATCCATAAGTACAGGGCTCTCATGAAGCAAGCTGAAGATAACTTGAGTATTGATATCACTAACACTCATCATGTTGTTGAAGTGAAAAAGTGGAAAGAGGAGCTGCTTAGGGCCACAGATCCTGAGGAGCAGATTCTTAGACAAAAATTTAAGATTACTTGGCTTCATCTTATTGATGGAAATAACTCTTATTTCCATGCTATTGTGAAAGGGAAGAATAAGAAGACTGGCATCCATAGGCTTGAGAACTAAAGTGGTCATATGCTCATTGATCCTAGTCAGATTGAAGCTGAAGTTGTGAATTTCTGTAGAGAGCTTGTTGGTACTTCTACAACCAACTTGCTGCACATTGATTTTGAGGCCATGAGAAAAGGAGCTCAGCTCCAAAACCAGCAGAGAGATCTTCTGATTGCTCCAATTTCTGATCCTGAAATTTGGAATGCTTTAAATAGAATTGGGGAGGACAAAGCTCCAGGTATTGATGGTTACACCACTAAGTTTTTTAAAGCCTCTTGGTCTATTGTTGGTAGGGATATTAGAGATGCCATCCATGATTTTTTTTATAACAATAGGATGCTCAAAGCTGTTAATTTCTCTTTAGTCACCTTAATACCTAAGACTCTTAATTCTATAAATATGAAGAACTAGAGACCTATTGCCTGTTGTACTACCCTCTACAAAATTATATCTATGATCCTGACTTTGAGATTGAGTAAGGTCATTGAGTCTGTGGTAGATTATAGCCAGTCAGCTTTCATCCCAGGCAAAGTTATCCAGGATAATATTATTCTTGCCCAAGAGTTAATCAAAGGTTATAATAAGAGGCATGTTTCCCCTAGATGCACCATCCAATTACACATCCAAAAAGCTTATGACACTTTGGAGTGGAAAGCTTTAGAAGATATCTTGAGGGGAATGAACTTTCCACTTAAATTTATTAACTTGATTATGAAATGTGTCACTACTGTGTCCTATAGATATAACATCAATGGCCATTACAGTGAGGTTGTCCAAGCTAAAAAGGGTATCAGACAAGGAGACCCCATCTTCCCAATGCTTTTTGTTCTAGTCATGGAGTACCTTCATAGATGCCTCAAGAAGCTGCAGTACAAAACTAATTTCAACTTCCATCCTAAATGTGAGAAATTAGGGATGACTAACATCTGCTTTGCTGATGATCTTATTCTTTTACTAGAGGTGATGCCATTTATGTTCATCTTATTATGGACAGTTTAAACATTTTTTCTGCTGCTACTGGCCTTAAAGCTAGCCCTTCCAAATGTAAGGTGTACTTTGGGGGTTGGGGGGGGGGGGGGGGGGGCTCATGATTGTGTCAAGCATAGAATCTTGGAGATCACTGGATTTATGACTGGTAACTTCCCTTTTAAGTACCTAGGAGTTCCTCTCTCAAGCAGGAATTTAACTGTTCACATGTGCAGACCCCTTATTGATAGAATTATTTCTAGAATTCAACATTGGACTGCTACCTTTTTTAGCTATGCAGGTAGCCAACAATTGGTTTGAAGTGTTCTTTTTTCCATTACTGCCTATTGGCTTCAGGTTTTCGATATGCCTAAATGTGTCATAAAGCACATAGAGTCTATCTGCAGAAGTTTTCTTTGGTGTGGCACTGCAGAAATCAAGAAAAAAATCCCCTGTGACTTGGGATAATGTCTGTGATCCCAAAAATGCTGGTGGGCTGAATATTACTGCTCTTAGAGAGTGGAACATGGCTACTCTTGGAAAGTTGTTATGGAATATCCAAGCCAAAGCAGATAACTTTGGGTTAAATGAGTCAATACCTATTACTTGAAGGGCCAGAGCATTATTAGCTGGAAACCTATGACAAATTGCTCTGGTTTTCTGAAAAGTTTGGTTAGCTGACGAGATAATCTGATCTAGACCCCTTACTAGCAGAATATTCTCCAAACTGGTACCTACAAAACTGCTAACATGTATCATAGCCTTAGGGGCGAGAAGATTCACAAACCTTGGAAGAAGATGATGTATAAAAACTATGTTAGACCAAGGGCCCTTTTCCACCTTTGGCTTACTCTTGTGGGGAGAATTAGCATAAAACATAGAATCGTTAAGTTTGGTATTGTGATTGATTTGAAATGCACTTTCTGTCAAGAAGATGAAAGCTTAGATCACCTCTACTTTGGTTGCCCAATCACTAAGAGGATTTGGTCTGAGATTCTTCACTGGATTGGCTACCAGCACAACCCGAATCTCTGGCATCAGGAGTTGATTTGGCTGACTGCTGAAACTATGAACATGGGTTAGAGAAGGCAGATTTTGAAGACGGCTATAGCAGAGACTGCCTATAGCATTTGGCAAAACTGCTATGCTATTATCTTTTCTCAAGCCACCTTGGATACCAATTTAGTTGATAACATTAAATTTATTATTGTTAATAGATGTTCCAAGATTAGAACACTTAACACACACATTGATAACATTACTTTTTGCATAAAGTAATGTAGAGTTCCATTCTTGTCTTCTGGTTTTTCCTGGATCTGTTTAGATTGGTTGTGTAAACTGTATTTTGGTAATAAAACATTTCTTTTGTTCGAAAAAAAAATATTTTAATTAGATACATGATTCTCATTGATTTGTAAAAATAATTTATACTGTCACGACATCTTCCTTTTTCTCTTTGTTTAATATTTTTTATATTATTAGTAGCAATTATTTTTCCCACGTTTTTTTAATGATCACAGATATTTATCCATGTATTTTAATATTAAATGGTGAAATTAATTGATGAATACTTTATTTACCAAAATTTATCAAATATTTATTTATAAAAATTTAAGGTAATTTATTATTTATTTTTTGTTAATAAAAGTTGAGGTAATTTATTTTTATATCATAATAATTAACAAGAAGTATTTATATAATTTTTAAATTTAATTAATATATTAATAAAAAATATTTTTAATAATTTCTTCTTATTATAGTATTAATTGTATTATAAATGTTCTATGAAATCATATTTCATATGGATACTTATTATCTATACCTGATGCAAAATTGGAAATTTACAATAATATGTATAAATTAAATTACAAATATATTTTTATTAATTTGTTAAAATTTAAAACATTAAATTTAACAATGAATTATTATAACAAGATTTTATATACATATGATATTATTGAAAAATTAATTAAAAAATAATTCTATTAAATTTATTGACAATTTTCTAAATATGTGAAAAAAATTACGGATTTTTATAATAAGAAAAGACATTACATATTTTAAAATTATAAAATACAAAGACAGGTGTTTTGTTAAAAATATAATTTAAATTATTTTAAATTATTTAATTCATTATTATATTATGTTTATTTATTATTTATAACGATAATATGCTACACATGCGAACGCACGGGTAGATGACTACTTACTTATTTCCTTTATTTTTTTTATCTATAATATACATTTCCAACAGACCAAGAATATTTAATTTGTATATTTTTTATATACATTTCTTAACCATCAATATACTATATTTATTTACTACTTATATATTATTAAATTTAGATTTATATATATGTGAGTTTGAAAATTTTATTTTTACGACATATTTAATCTATTCTATTTATTTATTATCTCTAAAAATATTAATTAACGAGAAAAACAGGAAAAAGTACATTTTAAATACAATTATTTAAAAAAACGGGAAAAAAGACTAAAAGTCTACTATTTATACAGTTGATTTTATAAACGGGAATAAATTACAAATTGTATATATTAATTCACTACAAAATTATTTTTTTGACTAAATTAAAGAATCTTTTTAACTAAATTCGAATCAGTTATAAAATTTTACAATAAATTTATATATGATTTTTTTTTTAAGATCATTATTGAAGATTAGGTTATAGATTTGATTTTAATCTTAATGTTGATTTTTCATGAGCATATTTTACATACTTTATTAAATTTTGACGGGATATTGTGAATTTTTTTTACAATAGCCAGGTTTTGAAAAAAAAATACACAAATAACCATGTTTCGGAGAAAATTACGCAAATAACCATGTTTCAGAAAATCCTACAAAGGAGGAGCCAATCCAGTTGGTGCATGCACCTACCATTATGCCCTAGACGCCATCTCACTTGGCGCATGCTATCACTTTTAACCAAGTGAGATGGCGCATGCACTTTAAATGTGAGAGGAAGCGCCATCTCACTTGGCGCCTAGGGCAATGCACATTTATTTAAATAAATGACCCGATTCTCCGTCATTCTTCACACTTTTTCGCATTGTCTTCTTATTTTTTCTCTATTATTTGCGTCATGACAGCTCCCATGATTTTCACCAAAGATGGATACGTTATTTTCTCGGCCACCAAACCTCCGATGAAAATGAAATTTTGACACGTTCACTCTATGGAGCGTCTGAAGAGAGAGTTGATGCGATGGCTAGAGGGAGACATCGAGGATGGGGAACAAATTAGAAGGATCCAGCGAAGAAGAATAACCACCTCACTTGCAACTGGAAGACCTAATTTTTGGTTGGAGGAAGTCAAAACTGACGGAGACGTAATGTTGATGATGCATGTGTCAGATGAAATTGTTTTGACGGTTGTAATTTCTTAGAAGTTTTATCGTGTTTTTATTTATTGTTTGTGTAAGGTTTGTTGTAACAAATGCTCTTAATGAAAAATCGTAATGTTTAGAATTTAAAAAAGTAAAGATGGTTTGCATACAATTTTTATGTTGTTGAGCTAGTATCCCTAGGGGGACAATTTTTTCGATTGTGTCCGACCCGACGATATAAACCACACTTTCTTTCTAGCTTGTCAAGGGAGTCTATTTTAGTTGTGATACGCTTGCTTTTGGGACGACCCTTTTTATGTAAGTACGAAGTGCGCCTAAGAGGGGAGGGGTGAATTAGGTACTTTAAAAAATTCTGGTTTTAGTGATGATG